AGAAAAAAACCCTGTCGAAGTTGTAAATTTCAAATTTTTGTTGCTAGTAACAGCAAAATGATTATTTACCAAAAAGACAGATAAAAGGTTTTATATATTATTTTAGAAACATGAAAATTTTGTGTTGTTATTTTATTAAAACTTAGGGGGAGAATACATAATTGATCTATCATCCATTATTAATTTGCTATCAAATAGTCAGCCCATATGTGTGCGTCCTGCTCCAAAAGTTTCCTCCCACATGCCTCTTATCTTTCTCCCTTTTTTTTTTTTTTTTTCTTTTTCAACCGTAAGAGTTATTAGAATCTGATTACGTACAACTCAAATTTTTTGGACAGTCTAGTCTGACTAAAGACATGTCATCTACACCGAAATCAAAATACTCATGAGAGATAATTCGTCACAGCCTCACCACATAATAAGACTAAAATTCAAACTCATAACATCTGAATTTATAGTTCATCCATGTTGTTACTCGAATTATGCATTAGGGTTTACATGCCTCTTATCATTGGTGGTGATTGCCATCCAAATTCAGAGCATATTCACTACCTACAAGTTTGGCAATAATCATTAAGTTGATAATCTTCCGTCCCAGAACAACCTCTTCATACAAGTAANTAATAACGTCCTTAATTGATTTGGAGTTGTAAACAAAGTCTACTTAGTTTTCTATACTCTAAAGCGAAGCGAGACTTGTTTCTCTCTCTCTCATATTGGCTTTTTTAACTAATCTTTCCGCAAGCCCTATGTTGTAATAGCAAAATTTGCATTAATGCTATCTCTATGCATTACAGTGCATCCATCTCCATGAGTATTCATGGAAAAAATTCCCCACTAATGAACAACCACAGAAAATAATTATGTTTTATACAAAATAGTAAGAAGAAAAACTCCAAAGAAAATATATTTTCATGCATCGTTATCTTGGACTTGAATTATTGCATATAGCCTTTAACAATGCCCTCAAGGATGTGATCATAATGAAGAAGATATGGAATTTAACTTAATTGAATTGCATTGGTGTGAATCTTTACTTCGACGAGAACAAAAATGAAACAAGATATTTACCTTCTGTTCTCTACTTCTCTTCATCATTTGGGCATTTTCACAACTGGTGTTACCAACCAACGATCAAATTTGTCACTTCACACCCGTTAGCCAAATGGCAAAAGGGTCATGAATTTCTTCCTCTCATTAACCAATTAAACATGGTAATCAAAATAGAGATGATTGATATTTGCATACTCTATCATGTCCCATGCCTTTGACTCACGGTTACAATCTCTCTGCATGCGAGACAACACTATGAGTGTCTAACACTCTTCCGACCTAACATTGTTTTAATCAAAATAAAGATGACAAGTCTATCATGTCTATACTGCTTAGAAATAGAAATTCATAAAAATGTTTTTAGCTGCTAAAAAAATAATGATCACTTATCCCATTGTCATTGCTTTTTTAGTTCAAAGATACGATTTAAATTAGAGTTGATAAGAACTCAAAATAACATTATTGATTAATTATCAGAGGTAATGGTGAACAAAAGAGATTTTACCTATTTCAGCTGAAACATTAAGAGTATAAAGTCACCAACTACAAAGAAGCCAAGCATGTAAAAGTTTCTAAGTTGGTTCAAAGTTATAGAGCTCTTGTCGTCCCCGTTTCTGGTGTTTTAGTTCTGATTGGGTGGCTATGAAGTGGTGTAGGGCCCATCTAAGATAATGAATAAAGGTATCCTATTCTATTGAAGAAAAGACCTTTGGCATGATGGTAGTAGAGTGATCTGATCGCAATGTTGTCCACTCCTTGTCTGAAAAAATTTGGAAGAATTGGATAAGTTAGCTCTACATGTTCCCTTTAATTGCACGTGATAAGGAAAACGAGAGATCTAGTGTGAATGCAGTGATGATGAGGAAAAGGCAAGCTTGTCCAGAAAAAAAACTCAAATCATCTCCATTCTTTATTTGTACATGTGCAACTCAGGACCAAACCAATGGTTACGATGGATTAGATAAGCCAATTAGGTTCAAACTGCATTATTATATATATGTACTGCAGTTAATTAGAATTTTGAACGGATTATTACCATATAATCGGGGTCAAGGACTAGCTAACTGTACATGGAAAACTAAAGAAGTTTTAAGTGCATTAGCCTATTCAACCTGGAGCCCATCTATATGTATCAGTTTTGATCAGAGCAGTGTAGCACTTGTTCCGGCCAGGTCTACAACCTGCAGTGATAAGGGCCCAGTCCAAATTTGGATTAGGTTTACAGCATGTCTCTATGAAGCCCTCTGAGGCCCAAAGTCATCGATGTGATTAAGAATATTATCTTGACACCCCCTGAGTTTTTAAAAAATAATCACAAGTTCCCTTAATATTTCAGAATTGACAAAGACACACCTAAATTCCTTATTGTAAGAAAAAAACCCTGTCGAAGTTGTAAATTTCAAATTTTTGTTGCTAGTAACAGCAAAATGATTATTTACCAAAAAGACAGATAAAAGGTTTTATATATTATTTTAGAAACATGAAAATTTTGTGTTGTTATTTTATTAAAACTTAGGGGGAGAATACATAATTGATCTATCATCCATTATTAATTTGCTATCAAATAGTCAGCCCATATGTGTGCGTCCTGCTCCAAAAGTTTCCTCCCACATGCCTCTTATCTTTCTCCCTTTTTTTTTTTTTTTTTTCAACCGTAAGAGTTATTAGAATCTGATTACGTACACCTCAAATTTTTTGGACAGTCTAGTCTGACTAAAGACATGTCATCTACACCGAAATCAAAATACTCATGAGAGATAATTCGTCACAGCCTCACCACATAATAAGACTAAAATTCAAACTCATAACATCTGAATTTATAGTTCATCCATGTTGTTACTCGAATTATGCATTAGGGTTTACATGCCTCTTATCATTGGTGGTGATTGCCATCCAAATTCAGAGCATATTCACTACCTACAAGTTTGGCAATAATCATTAAGTTGATAATCTTCCGTCCCAGAACAACCTCTTCATACAAGTAACGATACATACATCTGACCCTCTCAAACTTGCTTATAAGAGAAATCCTTATTTCATTTTCCTAAATCACATCTCATTTCTTTCATTTGTATACATATTTTCATCTCTCAACACACAAAATAATGCTCCATTAGAACAAAAATAATTCATCTGCAAAACCTAGCGCCTTAGTTCTCCTATATACATATATATCAACATGTTTATGATTGAAAAATGATAAAGAGGCAACATCAAAAAAAACCCCAAAATGACAAACCTGGAGTGTAGAAGCCATTGTAGTAGGAATCATCAGCCAGTATCTTGTCGTTGCATCTTCTAGCTATACACTTATAATCCGCGATGGAGCCAGAAATTTTGAACCGGAAAGGGGAAGGGAACATCAAGTATTCATACGAAGCCAAAACCACTAAGTCACGAGAATTAACTGATCGTGAGTTGGTATATAACCAAAGGAAGAGCAGGTCGTCGGAAATTCTCGCTTTCTCAGGGTTCAAGGTTCTTGCTACTTGCCTTCTAGTATACGTTTGAAGTCATCCTGGTTCTAGCTGACCGAAGCGTGTCTGTTGTCGAGGCCTTTTGGGGGGTCCAGTCCAACATTGTAAGTTTTTGCCTTGGAGCCATATGAAGATATGGCGTAGCAAATATAGATGATAGAAAAAATTGGTTCAGTTATTTATAATCCAAATAAAAAAAGGTTAGAAATGGTGGTTGTTGTTGTGAGAAGGTGAAGGGAAGGGTTGGTTGTTGCATTATGGCTTGAGAGAAAGAGAGAAAGAGGTTTGAACCCAAAGAAATTCTGGTGGAATGAGGTCTGGAATGTGAAAGTAGTAAGTAGGGGTCTGACTGGTAGATTCAATGCCCACACACTTGGGAGTGAGGTAGCTAAAATGGGTTATCAACATTTATGTTTTCATTCATAAAGAGACATATATTTTCGATTCGATGGGACGTGGAAAGTATTCTCCAACGTTAAAAAGCATGGAAATAGTTTTTCTTTTCTTTTTTAGATTCATGAAAAATAGCAAAGAGAAAAGCGAGCGATGCATCTGATCACAACCCAAATAAAGAGAAATCTGTGGAAAGTTACGTCACTGTGCAAGTGAACTGAGAAAAAAAAAAAGCATAGCTTTGAATGATTTTTGATTTCGAAATTCGAATAATTACATGGAATTTTGCTTCTCTTTGTTTTTAATTTCTCTTCCATGGTTTCAAATATGATCATTTCATGCATTGATATACGACACACATTTTTTTGTTGTGTAAACAAATTATTGTCAAATATCTTTTACCCTTTTCCAAACCTTCATGCCTTCTTTTTAATCTTTCCTCTAAGACTAGTTGTCTCTAAAAAAAAATATGGCACCATCTAACACAAAATTAATATAAGTAAAACCGATCAAAAAAAATTCAAAATACAACTTTTTTATATACAATTTCTTATACACAACACAAACTCGATGTAACACAATTTATTAGTCACGATTTAATAAACACATCAAAAAAAAAAATTAATCTAAAAATAAATCGAATATAAGTGAAATATTTGTTAATACAAACTCGCTAAAATCCGATAAAAACTCACATCACAAGACACGAATGAAAGACCTAGTTGCCTCAACCGATGACTAATAAAAAGCCATGATTAATCTAACCGGGAAGAAATTTCTGAAAATCCTTGCGGATCATTGAGCCGAACCTCTCTAGATTCATCCATTGGATGTAAAACCCCAACAATAACCCAAACAAATCAAATTTTCAAATTGCATTTAATAGCAGCTCAAGGCAAAAACAGCCAACCTAACTGGGATCACTTGGAAGACAGGGCCAGAATGAGTGTGTATCATCGCAGTGAAAGCATCCACCAATGACAACTAAAGAGTGTGATCAAAAAACGAATAACAAAAAGTAAAATAGTATAAAGGGAAATCAACAATCTGATATGTGCACAACCATTAGATATCAGTTCGTAAAGCCCCAAAATAATTGGCATAAATGAAAAAGGCCAGAATATAAATTAAATTAAATTAAAACCAAGTACCAATGAACCAGAGCATTCATTCAGTAGTGATACCAAATCAAAACAAACGATACGTTGGTCTTCAATGTCGAAAAAGACGACAGAAAAACCTTAATCCTTACAAAACAGCAAAGAGTTCACCATAACTTTTTCTCATTGGCGAGTTCTATAGCTCTTAGAAAAGAAATAGGGAGCACCACAAGCAAAACTGTCCTAATATGAAGCTCCTCCACACCACCAAAGAGATCCACTCTCAACGGTTGGCCTTTGCAACCCTCTCGATCTCATCTTTCTTCTTAATTGCATAGCTGCATACATGCAGAAAATAAACCTTACAAAAATTGATTTTGCATAAATATTAATGATTAAAGATGAACAAAACTGGAAAACAGCATGGGTCAAATAGACAACATGATGAAAAGTGCTATCTGAAGAAGTAATGGGGTCTAGTCAACAATAATAACCAGAAAAAAGAGTAAGCAAAAAATATGCTCCTTTACCTGTTCGAAGAACCCTTGGCAGCATTAATAAGCTCATCAGCAAGACACTCTGCAATGGTCTTAATGTTCCTGAAAGCACTCTCACGAGCACCAGTTGTAAGGAGATATATCGCCTGATTAACGCGTCTAAGGGGAGAAATATCCACAGCCTGACGCCTCACAACACCAGCAGAACCAATTCGAGTTGCATCTTCTCTCGGTCCACTGGATTAAAAACATGAAATTGTCACAGACAAGAGAGGGCATATGATCTTAAGTATGTGACTGTCTCACCAAATTATGCTTTAAGCACTACAAAAAATCTGCATGATTCCTTTAAAATAGGCAAAAAAAAAAACTAATAATTTCTTAATTCCATAATCAGAAGTCAAAGATGACAAAAACTGCAAAAAAAAAAAAAGGATTTTCCCACTTTACCCTGCAACTTCAAAAATGTAGCAGGCAGGAGTATATAGACTGTTAAAATAGAAGATTTCACATCCCAAAAATTACTAAATAGCCTATCATTATTTGTAATTCTGTATACCTGTTGATAACAGCATCAACGATGACTTGAATGGGATTTAGGTCAGTCAACAGATGGATGATCTCCATAGCATGCTTGACAATGCGGACCGCCATCAGCTTCTTCCCGTTATTCCGTCCATGCATCATGAGGGAGTTGGTCAGCCTCTCTACAATAGGGCACTGGGACTTCCTAAACCGTTTAGCTTGGTACCTGCCAGCAGTGTGAGGCATATAGGTTGGATGGTTGGAAGCAGTTGCAGTAATGTAATCCTGCACAGAAATGTCACTGACCTATACAAGGCCAAAACAGACAATCAGAGCAAGTCTTAAAAATCAGCAAACATAAAACGAAAGACGATAAAAACTGACTATGAAGAAATGGAATCATGCAAACAGCTCCAAAAAATTTAAAGTAGATAGCTAGAGTAATCAGATACATAATGAAATGGAATCAAGCACAACAATTACACCCAGCCTGATCACACAGGTTAGCAGCATATTGTATGGATGATACAGATGGGTCTTGGGAAAATAAATCCTGAAAACAAGTAATGAGGGTGAGAAAAAAAAAACAAATATTTGATCCAACAGAGGAGAGAGAGAGAGAGAGCAACTTCATGACCCATTTAATCAATTTATCTCGTAATGCTAGACAACTAGGAAGCACGGACACTTAATTTTAGGCAGAGTATCGATGTCAGACTCGTCTGGAAAACACGGACATGTTAAAATGAGTGTCCAATTTTTTATTGTTCAATTTTTTTTAGGACACACTGCCAACACGCTCAAGACTTTTATTTATAATTTTTTGAGAACTTTTCAAATAATTTTATAATTAGGAGTTATTCTTGTAATTTTAAAGGGATATGAGTCACAATCACAATCATAATATAAAAGTAATAATCATTACACTAAAAAGAGGGCATTAATGTAACATAATTTTGGTGAATACAAACTGATATACAAATAAAATAAACTTTTAATATCAAAATAATGTAAGAAAAAAATATGGTTATAAAATTGGGACTCTAGAAAATTTATGAAAATTAGTGTTACAAAGTAAAATATTTTGAAAAAAAAAGTTTTAATAATCATTGATTGTTGAATCATGAATGTTAATGTTGAATGTATATCAGTATATCTCATATTATACTTTTTACGCAGTAATATCATGATGTGAATTTTTAGAATTAAGAAAATGATGAATTAATAGATTATTATGATAATATTTTTATTTTATCACATGATTATATATACATATATATAAATATAAATTATTTAGCGTATTGTAAGCGTGTCCGTGCCCTACTTTTTTGAAAATTTTGTATCCGTGTCCAACAATCATCCTTGGGAAATGAGGAAGAATAGTCTAATTGAATCCCGTGTCTTGTGAAGACCCAACACTTGACAAAAAAAAAATAGGTAACCAGTATAAAACCATCAGCAAATTTTAATACACCAAAAGCCAGCAACAGGTCACTCACCATAAAAGCAATACAGTTCCAGCTTTTCTTACTCATAACAATACAGGTCTAAGCTCATTGTTTGTCAGGAAAAAAAAAAAAAAAAGGTTACTACAATCAGTTGGTTAGATTATTAGATAATTAGTCCAACTTTGCTATTCTATCAGATTATTCAATAATTAGTCAATGGTAGTGCTTTCAGCTTCATTCTTTTTTTTTTTTATGACTTATTTATCATTTAACTTTGTTCACTGTCTGTTTGCTCATGTTTATGCATTCTGTTTTCTGAGCAATCGTTCATAAATAGCAGAATACCCAAATAAACACATTTTACAGGAATAACAACACACACATATATGATGATTTAGTTTCTTTCTCTCAATACTTCAGAAAACTGCATAGATACATAGAGATATGAAGGTATTATTATTATCCACAGCTGCATATAAGCTCCAAGAAAATGAGACAAAGAAAATTACCAGCAGTTATAAACAGATCTAGCGAAAATATTGAACGAAGAAAATTAAATAGCTTAAAATACATAGATGAATCTGTGAATTGGCTAAGTTGCAAAGAACGATCAGACGAAAAACACACACAAACACACACAGATAGATAGAATGATACTTGAACGTCGTCATAGGACCATCGGTTGAAAAGCATCACAGAGCTGTGAATCTTGTCGTCATTCAGAATGCTAGGAGCTATAACAGCAGTCTCCATTGCTGCTTTTTCAAATCTTCCGATTCACAACTGCAGAATAGATACAAACATAAATTAGCGTGATAAATACGTATAAACATGTATATATAAATAACGACAGACCGACCTTCGCTTGGAGGAGACAGAGAGAGTGAGTGCGGAGGCTAGCGAGTCTGCAAGCTCCAAAGCAAGACGATGTATGACGGAGATGAAACAAACCCTTAGTAGGGTTAATATAAAGCTCAAGGATTTGGGGTTTTTTCCCTGAAATGGCCTCTTCGATTTGGGCTTGAAATAAATATTCTAAGCCCAAGACTTTTTTCATTTTGGGGTTGGGCTTTTTGATAAATTGCCCTCCTAACTCGAACCATCCCGGTGTACAAAAAAATATTTATTACAACAACGACGGGAGTAACACATGATATCACCAATCAATAATAATATAAAATATATGTATAATAGACCCTATTTTTTTTCCAAGAGTGCAACACATGCTTATCTATTTGGTTAAGAAGAAAATAATTAAAGAAAATAGAAGTGATGGAAACTGAAGTGAAAGAATATATCCGTCAATCTCACGCTAACCAAATTACATGTTTGGGACCCTAAATTACTGTGATGAACAGTTGTTCAAGTAGGAAATCTGACTTAACCAATTCCAAGCAAAAGCCTTTCCGAGTTGAACGCAGAGCATATGCGAACGAGAAAATATTCACTGCATGTAAGGTACCAAGTGAAATATTGGTTGCGACAATTACTTGTTGGACTTCCAAGTTAATTTTTTAAAAAAAAATAATCTGACAACTTCACAAAGTAACAGTATTTGATTGAGATATTTCTCTCTCGGCCACCAACATTAATAGTGTTTGATTTTGTTCTCATCAATCAATGTCTACTTCTTTAAGCTAAATATACGGCTTTTTACAAACCACGCACACCCTCCGCTAAGCCACCCCAAGATCAGTTCTGAGCTGAAGTGGCTTTAGATCCATCTTCAACCTGGACTTGAGAATTCCATCACAACCTGCTTTGCAGACAAAGAAATGTTTTACCACAAATGCCCTGCTGTCATCCAACTGCAAAATGACCTATTTCAAGAAGTAATTCTTCCTTTCTTTCATAAGTTCTAGCAATCTCTGCTCTTTCTGGAAGATGATCATTTGTCCTGACTGATCTGCTTCGGGTCGCACAACCCAAAATGAGGTGGGTTGGCTATTCAAATCACTCAAAATTCCAACCTTAAATTATAACTCAAACTACAAATTGATTCATGATTTAAATAATCTCACATTATAACTCCAACTCCAAATCATAGTTCTAACTTTTTCTATTTTAGTGTTGTTTAAACTCATATTTGGCATGTGTTAATTATAAAAAAAAAAACTATTTGGCATCACAGCAGCCAAGGAGCATGAATCATTCAGAACCTTGCAGTAACACTTCATAACTAAATCTTTTTGAAAAAACACGAAACTAGTAGCCGTAAACATTAACAGTTCAGTAATGGAGTCACTAAAATAAAATTTTCAGCAAGTTGAAAATTTTATCAAATAGCACTAAAGCTATTTCTCAAACATAAAGGACTCAAAGCATTCGACTAAATTGAAAACTCAAGCATCTCATACATGCCCAAACTCAAACCAGTCTTGCATGAATATCCCAAAACCACAAAAACGAATAAAGGTTTTCTGCAAAAGAGCTTGACACCATAGCTAACTATTCAAAACCTTGAGCAGACATAAGAACCCGCAAAGTAATCACCGCAACCTTCTTGCCTCCCTTTCAGACTCGAGCAGGGTGAGAACATCACCCTCCCTGACTGGTCCCTTGACATTTCTCATGATAAACCGGTTCTGGTCATCAATGAACTTGACTCTCACCTGAGTCACCTGCCCCCTGGATCCTGTGCGACCCATAACTTTCACTACGATGGCATGTTTGATTTGAGATTCCATTCTGCAAGAGTATAAGAGAGTTGAAATGGAAAATACAGCCAGATTAAAAAAAAACTCATGGCATGCGATATAGTAGAGGGTAGAGGAAGAGAGCTTCACTGAAACAAAAATACACCAAAGATAAAGGACACATCCCATATCAAATCTCCAATTGTATATGTGATGATTAACAGAATGTTGTACATTAAAAGAGTAATGAATACAACAAAATTGAGCCCCTTGCACCTAAACTTGGGGGCATCACGTTCAGAAAGCACATAGACTGTTGATAAACAAACTCAACTCAACAAAACCTTATCCCAACATTTTAAGGTTGGTTACATGAATCAAGTTTTGTTATTGTGCTCTATAAAGCAAACAATTGATAAACCAATTAACCCACAAAACACCCCAGAAAATCATACACGAAAATCAAAGTAGCTGTCACTGTGTCACATATATAAGAGGAATATGCTACTCTGCATTGAAGCACATTAGGAGAACTATTTTTACAAGAAAGGGTATTTTATAAATTATGCCCTTAAAAAGTATATTTGATTTCTATTTAGTCCCTGAAGCTTCAATTGCAACAACAAAAACCTTGAAATTTTAACTGAGCTTCAAGTTAGTCCTTTCTCCTACATCTATTGATCTGTTGCGATAAATGAACCTCACCCAACTTAGCCCCAAGGCATTTTTGTCCAATAAAAAATATTTTTTTGCAAATAAAGAGATAATATTTTCTGTGTGTCACACAATCTCTCTCAAATTTTAACGATGTATTCTTTTTTAATGTCAGTTATCTTCTTTATCTAAGAATTAGATATGATGAAATATGGTTCTCTGACCAATGCAAGAAAAAACATTTGGTGAACGAATATGCCCTTTTACCAAATCACGTGTTGGTTACAAAAGGTCATTCATCAGAATAAATAGATGAATTTGGATATATTGACTAAATTGAAAGTTAATCAGAATTTTAAGGATTTGATTGTTGCAATTGAAACTTCAAGAAGCAAATAGAAATTAGGTGCATACTTACATGGTATATATCACAATTTACCATACACTCATAATACATGATATAATGTCTCATCCAGATGGGATGAGAATCAACCCACACCGTAGACAGTATAGATCCATTTCCAGATTTTCAATTATTTTCTGTATGTTTCTCAAGCATTCCCATAAACCAAACACAAGCGAATACAATCTCTAAATAATCACACATGGATCTAGAACCATAGCACCAAACAGATGTTTAGCTACTATGCTTAAAAACATGAATTTAACCCCAAAAAATTCAGGATCAAAACCCTAACTACGATCTCAAAAGAGTGAGAAGGAACAAAATTGATAAATTGAAAGATATTGGGAATATAGAAAGAGAAGGTCAATTAACCTGATTGAATGCAAGTATAAGCGAGAGAACAGCAGTAGCGGCCGAAGAAACCCAAGCTTCTCTTTGCTGATAGAGTTTGAATGGGAGGAGTAAAACCCTAATGCGGATATTTATAAGGCCAAACGTTGTAACGAAATGACGATTGTGCCCATGATGGTTGCCAAAATATAGGGGTTTGTAAGTCATTTGGTTCGTCTGCACAGGTTTAAATTTCTTTCAAATCCTCCCGCACAATTCTACTTAATTATAAATCACCCTCCATGAAATAGGCCTATCAATCGATCAAATTTTACTCCGAATTCGAATTCGAATTCGAATTCGATTAGTTGAATATGAATTAATAATAATTTTTTACTGATAATCTGAATTCAAAATATTTATATATTTTTATCTAAATATGAAAAAAAACTAAATGATTATTTATCAAAATTTAAATGTAATTAATTAAATTATGTTATTTATATTGGGTTAGATTTTTGAATCGTATTTCAGATAGTTAACAGATTTGATTATGTGCCAAGAAATAGAAATCAATCGAATAACCAAATAGAATTTAGATCGGACTTTTAAAATTCAATCCAAATCGATCACAAATTCAATCAAAATCTAATTTATTGACAAGACTACTATGAATTACAAGTTCGACCCTTGACCTTGATTGGGTCCTATGATCCTACCAAGTTACAATAAGTGATCTATTATTAAGAAAAAATAATTAAAAGATATCGGATTTCATATATACTACTATGAATATAGCTGAACTTTGCTACCACCATCGAATATTGATTTTGAGCAATTTTTATTTATGAATTGTTGGAAGTTAAACGATCCATCTCATGATAGTGCTCTCCTCCTATTCCAATTGATTTTTTAATTTTTTTTTTCCGTATATCTATCCATTATAAATTTAAAAAGTACATGTAAACTAGTCCAGACGTCCTGACCGTTGAAAAGAAAAAAAAAATTGAGGACAACTAAAACCACAAATTTGACTTTTTTCCATATTAGATTTTGTTAAAATTCCACAAATTTAAACAAGTTCTTGATAATTACAAGGCTGTAATACTTTTTACCTTAAAAAAAGTATGAATTTTCTACTTATATTTTGAAAATTAAAATTCTCAAATTACAGTGTCAATCGGATAAAAAAGTAACATTGTAATCCAAAAATAAATATTTGTTGCCTTTTTTGACAATTTTTGTTTATATTTGTCATATTATCCTATCTTAATATACAATTGTGTTGTATAATACTTGATTTTTAATAGAAATTTGCTGCTCAATAGAACAGAAAGTCTAAACAAGGGTAATGAGTCTTCCCTAATAGACCGTTGGTTTTATTGTTAAACCTTTTCAACATTGGTTCCATATAAAAAACAAGTTAGAAAGATTTGAGATATGGGGGCAGAGGGCAATGTGCTATCCTCTTGTCTAGGGCACTTCAAAATTGTGCAATTTGAAGTTTTTTTTTTTTCTGCAAAAGGGTACGAGGTGCAAATAGTCGTGGCCGATTTTACCATGACGTATACGACCATAGTATCCTATTTGTAAGAGAGTGGACATTGACACAATGATAAAGATGTTATATTGTGACCTGAAAGTTACGGGTTCGAGTTACGAAAAGAGTTTCTCTACTTGCACAGTAAAACTACGTACATCTAATCTTTTTCAGATCCGCAATGATGGGAGTCTCGTGCACTGAGTACGTCATATTTGCATAGAAGATGTTCCTGTAGGTATACACACACACGCACACACATCAGAGGAAAAGAGCATTTACAGTGAAAAAGAAAATGGGATTTTCATTCAGTCATTTGGTACAAGATCTACAAAATGAATTGAATAAAAGAAAGGTACATAAAAGAATGCAAAAGAACTTGTGGAGAATCCTGCATACTTCAACACAAGATAGTTATCAGTCAAAAACTTTTGCTTACATCTGTATAACTACTATGGTTTTTGATGTTTGTTACAATATCACTTGCTGCAATGCAAGTGGACTTCTCTCTTTCGTTTCTCTGCACAAGTTGGTAGGAGTCAGAACCCTAGGACTAAACGTGGATGATCCCTGGGGAGAGGGAAAAGCCTTTCTTGGAGACAAGTTCACTTCCTCTAAAACCCGAGATTGGAGCTCTGAAGGGTAGTCCCTTACGCATCCAATCCGAGGCCCAGCTCCTGTTGTCCACCTGCAAGATAATTGCTGAGCTAACTGATATGACTTCATTCCTTTGTGTGAATTTATTCTCTTGATGATCTTTTCTTTTGGGATAGGCTCTTCGTAATCTTCCTCTTGATCTTTATTGAACAAGCCCTGTTTGGAAACCATAACCTCTACATCCGATAAATATTCCTCAGCTGTTTCATAGCCACTTGGTTCCCGTTGTTCTTCCTTCTCGAACATCTCTGCCACATTTTCCCTTGTTGGTATTTCTAGTGGAGTTATCTTTGAACCCAGTCCTCTAGATAACCTTGGCAAGGGTGGATGCAAACATTCCACATCGTTGCAATCTTGGTTTCTTGAATTAGTTTTCTCTCTGTCCAAGCTTGTGGCATTGCTTTCTTCAGTGGATTCAGTAAAACCTGGTTTTGATAAGCTATTTCGCAGGCTAGAGACACTAGCACATTTGGCAAAGGCTGCTTTTTCCTCGTCTCTTGAGCTTCTCTGAAAATGCACAGAAAAATAAATCAACGAGTGGCCAATATTTACTCTTGCTAATATGGATAATCTATGAACTTGAGAAGAATATGAATATCGACAATCCTCAAATCCAATAACCCCCTGGTGTGTTATCTGCCATATAACTCAAGGTTATGAGAAGCATATTTACCCCGGGAAAAAAATATTATAATAAGTATGGTCAGTGTTTCTACCTGGACAATACTGAGATCTACATTGTGTTCCTCAAGGAACAACATGAATGCCTCGAAATTTTCTTCCGTAGGGAGATAATGTCCACTGTGAGGCCAAACCGCCTGTTGAGATGAACAAATGGATTAATAAATGGAAAATGCTATTTGGACCTACGTTAAGGACCTAATCTAGGGACTTAATAATATACAACCATTGGATTGGTTGTGGGCTCCATCTAACATTGAAACTCATGACTAATCCAATGGTTGCATTGAAGCCACATCATTAGGTCCCCAAATAAGGTCACCAATCTCTCTCACATGAGATCTAAGAACAACCAGCTGCAGAAACTGAGAACGACTTAGATCTGTACCTTCAGAACACCGCCTTCCACTACTAGTCTCCCAGCAGACAATGTGGCTCCACCAGCCAAGAAGCTTGAATGTTGAAATGTGCCTTTCTTCTTCTGCCCAACATACAAGGTCTTGGACACACTGAGTACAAAGATCCACTTTGCTTCTTCAGGTCCTCCCCTGGTATCAATAAGCTCCCCACTCTGCCTGTAAATAAACTTACCATCCTCCACTTCAACTTCATAAGCCTCTCTCTCTATCTGCAAGATCGAATTAAATTCTTTTGTTATTATGAATTTCAAGTAAACATGAAACTTTAATTTTTTTTTTCTTAATGGAAATTTGGTGTTCTGACCAAAAATACCTCGACCAAATCTAGCGTAAGCAAATCAGGTGTTCTAAATCTATCGAATTCCAATTCCATGTCGTAAAATGAACAAAAATTTTGAAAAGTTTATAATAATTCTATGCTTCCGTGAAGACATGAAGGACCACTATGAATGAAGATGAAGCTCACCAGACCAAGATACTTGATGCATTGTTGTTGAAGCTTTGATCGAGGACATCTTTCAACATTTACTTCTTTACCTTCTCCGATGTCAAGCCTACATCCGAGTTTTTATGGATTAAAATCTCTATTTCAAATGGTCATGAATGTGAAGCAGCATGTGTTCAGTTCAAATGGATATGTGGTCCAAATAAACCTTACCAATAGAAGAATGGTTGTTTACTCTCACAATGGAGCCATTTAGCATAGTAGAATTGAAGATTATGACCATAACGATGTCGTGGATCTATCTGTCGTACAGAAACGAGCATAATCAACAAATAGCGAAGAATAACAACAGGTATTGTCAGTCGAAAGTTCTACAAAAGCAAACTTACTGCCTCAAGCCAGTGCTGTAAAGCAAGTTTGCGTGCCTTCTCGTCCTTTGACAAACCTTTCCCCACCTGTCAATGATGACAAAAACAAAAAAGTTAGAGCTATAATCAGGAGGCAACAAAGTAAGTGTATACCAAATTGTCCACGACTTACCTTGGCAGCTCTGGTTCTGGCTCTTGACCAACGCGATACAGCAGTTTCAGGTTTATCAATGTCAAAAAATGATATGGAACTGCGCTTGAGTTCAGCAAAATCCAATAACTTCCACCTAAAAAATGAAAACACAATCGAAAATTTAAACTTGGAAATGATACGAACATGCAGACAAATAGGAATGTCAGAACATCACCTAACATGAAAACATTCCATTTCTGATTACTTAAGATATATTTGAAACAAGATAACGCAACAGAATAGAAGAAATCATCCTTTCGGTTTTTCAGTTTACAAATGTATCAATAGCATGCTCAGCTTGACCATTCTTATAAATGTGCTTTCAAATGCCACAAACATTAAATGGAATGACTTTTTTCATGTGGTGTCCAATACTCCTAAAAAACATGAACAGAGGGATTGATACAAACCATCTCTGCTCGACTAAAACTGCACAATCCGCCAGTTGTCTTCTGGTTCGGAAACTTTTGTATGTTTTCTGCAACGTTACTGCAGCCTGATGTCTTTGATCTGATGACTCCAACAATGGAATTGGGAGGTTTTTATCTGGCACGCTATCTGCAATTGGCAATTGGTCAAGGATGTCTGTGCTCACACGGCTGGGTGTCCGAACAATTACATTATCTTCCATATCTGAGGAAGGAGATTTAAATGTTACTGTGGTCTCTAGTTCCCTCCCTTTGAAGCTAATAGACCCTTCCAGTATCATCTTTCTGGAACCAAGTGATTTCATCATCACAGGCTCTGAATCTCGGCCATTAAAACTAACGGACCGCAATGCCATCCTCTCATCATCACCCCCAAAACTAATCGACCTAACTAAAACAGACTCCAATTGACTGTCCAAATCATCAAATTTGGAAAATGGACAAGAAAAAGATATCCCCATTTGTAAGAAAAATTGGGATATCCAAAATCAATAGCTTTCGAAGTACCTGTTAATAAAAGCACAAAGTAAGAATTCAGAATCAAAGTGTTCAAGACTAGCCATCAATGCAATAAAATTATTTGGTGAAGGTTGAAATATAACTCAAAAAATATTCAGATATTACAAATGAGGATCTATAAGTGGAAAAATCTAAACGATCTGACCTCTAAACCTCTTCTAAAGCCACAGAAGTTCTGGACAGAGAAAATAAATACAACCCTAGACACAACCAAACCAAGCCATATGTACCAATTATTTGGGGTGGGCTATATGAGTCGTCTTCACCATTCATTTCGGTCTTGAGCTATTCCCTTATTTAAGTTAAATATTTTCATATATTTTTTTTATTATTTCGTTCAATATTAATTTAGGTCTACCACTACACTCATAATACCATTAAGAGGAATACAACCCAAGACAAATGATCTGTTATTAATTACAATAAACATCAACAATCCAACATATATGCAGCATCTTAAGACAATAATCTGATGCCTTTCACCAAGTGAACTCTGGTGATACAAACCCCAGTCTCAAGTTATATGTGAATAGAGACAATCTTATAGAGCCATATACCATAACACCTATGAGGGTGGTAAAAGATTATAACTAAAATTATTCCACTAACAGTAGAAAGAAGAGATTAGAATCATTAGTGTAGTTCAATAGTTCTGACCAGATGTTTTGAGGCAAACAAGTTGATACTAATATGGGTTTGAATCAAATTCAACCATCAGTATAACTAAATGCCTCAAATGTCAAATCCAATACCATCTACCGGAAAAAGAAAAAAAAAACTTCAAAAACCAGAAAACCCATTTCCCACAAACCACCATTTCGAGTCAGTTCAATCACACAAACCTGTGACGAACGTGAAATAAGGAAAGAATAGGTATACCTTGATTTGAGAGTGGCTGAATTAAAAAGGACTGGTTTGAGAGAGAGAGCCCAGAGGAAGATATATTAGGTAGATACCAATGTAAGAGAGGGCATGGAATGGGGGTGTTTGGGGAAGGTTTGAATGAAGAGTTTGGTTTCCTTTTGAGCTTAATTGCTTAAAGAAATAGAAACGGAATGACTCTGTCAAAATATGTATTAGACATACAGCTAGCTGTCCCTGCCAATGTAATGAAGGGTACCTATATATATACAGGAGGAGGAGAGAGAAGCCACCTAACCCCCACGGGCCCGGTACCCCAGGGGGGAGTTGGAGAGGGGGGGGAGAGAGAGTGAGCAGTAGTCTCAAACCACGTGTGCTTGACTAACGCAAGGAAGTTTCATTTCAATTGCATCAGTTATTAGGAAAGAGAGAAGCAATTTAATGTTTTGCTTGTGTATATCGACATTTACACTAAAGAAGCCATGGAATTAATTGTTGGTGTTAAATTCAATTTTAATGTAACTTTCGTATAATTGAATTCGGTTGCGGAGTTTAATGGAGTAATCGATATAAGTTTAGGCATTTTATGATAAAAAATAAAAAAAATCTAATAAGCTTGAAGTCATGGATTTGAACATTAAGTTAATACAAACAATATTAAAGATTATATCGATATTGAGTCAACCTCGGTTAGACTCCATACATAAAAGCTAACATAGGTGTTATTTTTTCATGTTCGAAGTTGTTGCCACAGTTCATTCAATCTATTAATTTTATAATTTGTAAGATATATTTTTCGGAAGAAATGAATAGGTGGTGAAAGAATTAGGGTTTTTTGTATTTGTACTTTGAAAGATTTTAAGATTTTTATTTTTTACTCTGAAAGATAAGAGTATAATATGAGAAAATTAATTTTTGAAGGTGCAAAATAAAAATTTTAAAATTTTTCAGGATACAAAGTACAATTTGCCCAAAGAACTATAAGAATTTTCTTATGCTTAGGAAGTTAATTATTTATCCATATTCTTTTGGGTCGTATTAAAGTGTATGAAAGATCAATCCAAATACAAAATAAGTGAATTATTCTCACATGAATCACTTTCCACAAATGCAACACGATTTGATCTTTACAACTTGATTAATAAATAATTGATGTCGAGATGACCAATTTGTGTAGGTGAGTTTTACGTGTCATAAATTTTCGTAGAATTTTATACTCGTGTCACAATCATATAATAATCAGTACTAAAAATTCAATGCGGTACTATTAAAAAACGTACTAATATTATCAACCAAAAGAATTGAGTCAATTGACCAACCATTAGTAGTCTCTTCAAAAATTACCTAGAAAAAATATTTTACGATGAAAAAAAAGGGCAAGTGAATTTCCTTTATGCTTCCGAGCTCTATGGATTGACTCCATCATCGAAGACTCATACTTTCTCTAATTCTAAGATGTGCATGCGACAAGAAATTGACACCTCCAATAGAATCGAACATAGAAATCCACCACACCCTTTTCAAAGCAACTTCGGGTGAGGAAGACTGACCATGGAATCGTTGAAAAAAAAAAAAGATATGATAAGAGTTTTTCTCCAATAATAAGCAATTGGATCAAGTTTAAGTGACAGAAATACGAATTCAAAAATAAAGTAAACAGTAGGATGAAGCACGAACTACGCTATTTTTCATCCTTATATACGTAAAAGTTTCAAGGTCTCACTTTATTAAATAAGTAGATATCACTAATATAATTTTTTTTGTTTAACGGTTAGAGGTGTTTAGACCAATTTACGCGTATCTCAACTAATTTTTTCTTCGGTCCGGACAAAAACAAATTATTCACGTCTGGACTATGATATTTTTGAAAGATAAATCTCTCATGGTCTGGCCCCCAAAGGATTTGTCAATATTCAAACTTAATACGTTTAGGTTTACAGTTCGTTCTTGTTATTACTTGAGTTATTTATTAAATTATCACTAATATAATTTATAAACTAAAATTTTTTTAGTAATTTAGTCGTTGTGAGATTAAATTTCTTCCATACAATGATCCTTTTTATTAAAGTATTTTAACAATTTAAGTATATTTAATTGTTCAAGATTTAATTAGGGGAATATCATTGGATGAATATTAAAATTCTATTAACAATCAAGGGGATTCATAGAATTTAATGGAAATAACACTTGCTTGATTAAGAAAAAAAATTCTAATATAATGACTATGATCCTCAATTACACTACCACCAAGCTATAAAGATAGGGATCTTATCTATTTAAATTTTCTTTTATTTTTTATTTTTTTTAATCTCATTTAGACTCCATTAAATCTTGCACATGAGTCCCTCTTTTGGGAGGTGTCATATAGGATGATTTATTTTTCCTTATATACACTAGTATATTACAATTAGAATGAAGAATGTGAAATAATAAATCAATTTTTATCCATTACAATAATTCTTTTTTTAGTCTGGTTAATGATAGGTTATTCGCGTCGAAATTAGGGTATTTTTGATTGATAAATTTTTTATGACCTAACCTCAAAGAGTTATCAAAATTTAAACTCAGCACATATAAATTTATAATTCATCCTTGTTATTACTTGAATTACCGATCAAGTTTTCGCCCTCCTCGAACATTCATAATATGATTAAGGAACAAAAAAATAATAATCATATTCATCATGGAACCAAGGGTCATATGATCAACTGGAGGAGTCCAAGCCATAATTGGAAGTGATCCAATACGAACGCGACGCTCATGCTGCTCAATCATCGTATACACCTCATAAAGAGAAGAAAAAGTCAACATTGATAAGATCTAGGAACGAGATCCCTCAAACTCATCACGAAGCCCCATAAGGAACTTATGAATCCTATCCTTCTACTCTCGAGTATGCAAGAATGTTGCTCCCTCAGGCTCTATCCTCGGAATAGCAGCAAGAGAACGTAAAGTTTCATACTTAAGTCAGCGCTGGGTCAAATAGCCATAATAATCCTGAACAGTCATATCTTCCTGCCGAGCATATGAGAGCTCCTGAGAAAGCTCATAAATACAAACTCCCCGTCCTAACTGGGAATACATCTCTGATAATGCGCTCTATAATTTTGAAATAGAGCTATGAAACTGATGTATCCAGCAAATAGATGGCTCCATCGAGCTAAATAACCATCTAAGAATGGCGCAGTTCTCAGAGAACCATGCAGAATATCTGGGGTCAGCATCAGCTAACTTTGGGTGAGATCCCGTCAGCCAACCAAACTTCCTTACACGGCCCAAGAAAAGCTGGAATGAATGTGACCACTCAACAAAATTACGACCATTCAACAACTGTGTCGTAACCTTCTGAGAGATCATTCCCGGCATTGTCGGTAAAGCAACTGTGCCAGTAGGTACTGTGTACTAGTCAAACATAAAAGTAGGAGAAGCAGACAGTACAGGCCAGGTAGAAGTACTAATAGAAGCCTCAATAGTAGAGGTCTCTACGGTAGGAGTCTCTCGTCCCTCAGTAGTAGCCATGACAACAATAATACATGAGCACCCGTGACAGGAAAAAATAACTCTAAGATAAATAGAGGGATAAAATAAGGGAGAATAATATACTTCAAGTCGAACAATAACGACAGATAAAGGAGGTTCAGAAAGCTCCCAAATAATCAAATCAGGGTGCCCAAAAATCCAAAAAATATATAAGTGATCTACTGCATCAAATGCATATCAACGGAGAAGAAGATCTGATGCCTCCTCAAAAAGGCTTAGATATTGCAACTCTAGAAAAAAAGATGGTGTGAAAAGATAGCGACATTGTGACGAAAAGATAAACTTGACCCGATAGCAGGTTGATGAGGGGGCTGGTCTGGGTTTGGTTTGGGCTGGACTAGGCAGTAGGCTGTGGAATTGGGACTGGCCAGTGGGCTGCTTGGTATGTTTGTGGTAGGTCAGTGAATTTAGGTGGGCTGGGTTATGGGTTATGAGTTAAGTGGGCTGCTTGGTATATGTTGGTATATGTTTGCTGGGAGTTAAAGGTTTAATGGTGTCTGTGTGGTTTCGCTGGTAACTGATGGTAGTCGGTGGCTTTGAC